CATGTGTTTTTGGACCCTGACCCCGCGGATCTGCGTGAGGGGTGGCACCGAATTTCAGAAATGTGCAAATCCCTTGTGTTTTTGGACCCTGACCCCGCGGATCTGCGTGAGGGGTGGCACCGAATTTCAGAAATGTGGCAAATCCCTGTGTTTTTGGACCCTGACCCCGCGGATCTGCGTGAGGGGTGGCACCGAATTTCAGAAATGTGGCAAATCCCTTGTGTTTTTGGACCCTGACCCCGCGGATCTGCGTGAGGGGTGGCACCGAATTTAAGACATGTGGCAAATCCCTTGTGTTTTTGGACCCTGACCCCGCGGATCTGCGTGAGGGGTGGCACCGAATTTCAAAAATGTAGCAAATCCCATGTGTTTTTGGACCCTGACCTCGCGGATCTGCGTGAGGGGTGGCACCGAATTTTAGAAATGTGGCAAATCCCTTGTGTTTTTTGACCCTGACCCCGCGGATCTGCGTGAGGGGTGGCACCGAATTTCAGAAATGTAGCAAATCCCCTGTGTTTTTCGACCCTGACCCCGCGGATCTGCGTGAGGGGTGGCACCGAATTGCAGAAATGTGGCAAATCCTGTGTTTTGGGACCCTGACCCCGCGGATCTGCGTGAGGGGCGGCACTGAATTTCAGAAATGTGGCAAATCCCTTGTGTTTTTGGACCCTGATCCCGCCGATCTGTGTGAGGGGTGTTGATTTCGAGCTCCCCCAGCAATTCAGACAACGCGCCCAGGAGGTGCTAAATATCTGGTTTGGGCCTCCCCCCCCCTCGCGCGGTCAATCAACTAGTTACAGCAACCAGCAAGAAGCAGAACTGTAACACTGGAAACTACAAGCTACAACTGGCACAGGAATCAGCGAACCCGCGCCTACAGCCTGGTGGCCCCACAAGGGGGCCGGCGGATATCCCTGCCTCGCATAGGCTGCCCGCGTAAGGCGGCACGTAGATGCCCTCGTCTCCAATGTAGCGTGCCGCGCTGGTTGCCCGCCTGAGCCCGTCGCCAAATGTCGCTACGTCATCTCGCGTAAGACTTGTTTTTTTTCGTCGCCCATCTGCCTCCCGGCGTGGCGCCTCCCCCTACTCCGGAAGAGGAACGGACAAAACGGCATGAACCTACAATGGAGGATCATGCTAAGAAACACCCTGCTTGCCTCCAGGGTGCCTTGGGTTTCTCGGGTTTCGATGGTTTTGCTGTGGAGGGCGTGACGTTCCCACACCAAAAATCAATGTCCTGGGGTCTCAGGGTTGGGTCTCTCGTGGAAGGCTTCTCGCGGTCGGGCACCTACTGTACATTTCCGGAGTTCGTTGCGGATTTCTTGGATCCGCGCTGGGCCTCCCTGGCGGCGACCCCGGCGCTGCCCCTGGCGCGCTCTGCGCGCCCAGGAGGGGGGCCCAGCGCAGATCCAAGGTGTCCGCGCGCGACCTGTGTGCACGGTGCCGCTCTGGCGTCTCCCGACGCGGCGTCGACATTTGACCCGGGAGCGGCACGGTGGTGCACAGTTTTGTTCCGCCCCCCAGGGCCGAGCAAAAATTGTGCACTGCACCGCGTTGGAGCGGGACTCGGAGGGGGTCCGAACATGGTGTTGCGCACGGGCGCCCGCCGTTCTCGTATTCGTTCGGCGGCGAGAGAGGGGGTGGAAGTGAGAAGGAAAAGGCCTTCTCAGAAGCCCCCCCCCCCGGCCTTCTCCGAAGACACCGTGAGTTTGTCAGAAGGCCAGAGCGCGTCTCAAGAAGCCCCGCCGCCTTCTGAGAAGGCATTTTCCTTTTCAGTTCCCCCACCTCGCTCGCCGCCGAGGATGTGTACGCCGCAGTTTTTGTTCCTCTGTTTGTTGGCCTGGTCTGCAGCGCCTGCGCGCGGGACTCGCGACTAGGAGGAAACAACCGCGGTGGGCAGGCAGGCCAGGGGCAGCATCGGGGGTGAGGGGGGGATAGGCTCAGGAGGGGGGGGGGGGCATCGACCCCCCTCTGAGCCTCCTCTGCCTCCTCCCTCTCCTCCTCCTCTTCCCCCTCTTCCTCCTCTTCCTCGCTCCTCCTTCCTACGTTCTCCCTCCTCCCTCCTTCCTCCTTCTCCTCCTTCTCCCTTTCCTCCTCCTCCTCCACCTCCTCGTCCTCCTCCTCCTCCTCCTCCTCCTCCTCCTCCTCCTCCTCCTCCTCCTCCTCCTCCTCCTCCTCCTCCTCCTCCTCCCCCTCCTAGCTGCCTCCGTAGCCATTTTGGCTCAAGGCTCATGCTTTTGCGGGCTGGGCCCGTATTGGTTTCCACGGATACCGCTAGTCCGCGGCAGTGCCAGAGCGCTTGCGCTCGACAGCGTTCCGCCTACACCGAGGGGTTGGGCTCCCTCATCAGTTTTGTCGCCACGGCCGGGCTGCCTGGCTACGGTACGGCCATCACTGCTTTTGTCTCTCGTTCTGTGCGGGCATCATGGCGCCGCCGAAGGGTGCTGCGGCAAGAAACAGGGCAGCACGGGCCAAGCGATGGGTGTGCAGGCACTGCGCACACGAGAAAACTGGCGAGCCTTGGCACAATCATGCAGGTGCTGCTTCTTGTTTCTTGTGTGGTGGGGCCAAGGGACGCGTCTACAAGTGCGATCTACCTTCTCCTACGCCCAGTGTTCGTGCTCCTGCTGCTGGGGGCAATGCACGGGCGGCGCTGGATGCTAAGGATAAGGAGTTGGCGGCCCTTCGGAAGCAGGTGCAGCAGCTGTCTCGGACCAGGCCGACCGAGAACGTGCAGCAATTGCCTCCGCAGTCTGATGCAGCCACCACTAAGGATGACGCCCAGGGCAAGCAGCAGGAGCTGGATGCGCTGGAGCAGGTCGTGGCCTCCCTCGAGCTGGCGGCCAAAGTCAAAGGCGTTGCCCCGCAGACGGTCGTTGGCTACGAGGAAGCTCAAACATCTCTTCGGAAGTTGCGGCAGGAGACCCACGATGCTAAGCCGTTGGGTGCGCAGGTGCATGGCATTGGCAATAAGATTCAGAAGGCAGATCAGCAGCTTGCGAAGCTCAAGGCCACCATCGAGGCGGAGGAGCAGGCCATTGCTGAGAAGCAAACTTTGGTGGTTGATCTCAAGCAGCAGTTGGAGACCAAAGAAAAGGCTCGGGTGCAGATGCAGAGGGAGCAGATGGAGTTGCTGCGTACTCGTACACCTGAGCAGGTCACTCATGCTCCTGAAGGCAGCGACCAGGCGGTCTTCGACACCTTCACGGCCAGTCTGGAGCAGCTGCAGAGCCTGGTTCAGTCCCTTGGTGGCGGTGCGCAGTTGGCTGCCAGCTGCGCCCAGTTCGTGGAGCCCTGGCTTGAGCAAGTTCGGAAGCAGCGAACCGAACAGCAAGAGCAGCTTCGCGCGCAACAGCAGCAGCCACAACAGCAGCAGCGACCTCCTGAGCCGCCACAGCAGCAAGCTGAGCAGCCTGTTCGGCCCGAGCACTTTGACATGCCTGTACCTGAAGATATGGACCTGGAAGATCTTCGGACATTTGTTGCTGATGCTGGGCTGGAAGCCAGCGCTGATGAGACGGAGCTGCGTGCCCAGGCCAAGCGCCAGCTGGACTCGTGCCAGAAGCTGCTGGCCAAGAAGCTCAAGGTCGCTGCTTAGGCCTGTGCTCCTGATTGCTACTATCGGCGCAATGGCGGCAGATTCCCATACCTTCGATTTCGGCGACGACTGAGCAGTTGGGTGCCGACCCTGGCTTCGACCAGGATGATTTCTTCGGGCTCTACGAGCAGGATACTAGAGCGTTTGGAGGACCTGCTGATGCAGATGGTGGAGCGAACGCCTACGTGCGGATCCTGGCGCTGCCAGATGCTTTTGTTCCTGCACATGTTGATGACGGAGGGCATCAGGCGTTAGATCGCAAATCCTGGGTTGCCTGTGGCAGCTCAGGTTCGCAGTCGCGCCTGCGTCCACCACCCCCCAGGGCACCCCTTCCACAGGAGGCGGGGGACTCAGCGTGGGGGTGGGGGCGCAGGGTTTTGCTGGACTCCTCTTTCTCATGGCGAGGTCGCGGGCAGTGGCGCGACGTGGGGCAGCAGTCCAGGACACCTCCATCCAGCTCGGATGCCTGCACCACCTGACCCAGTGCAGGACTACCAGGACATGCGCCAGAACTTACGCGACTGGGCGGCCCTTTGGTTTGACAGCCACGCACAGATTCCACGGGATGGACGTCCTTGGGTCGAGTGGTGCACTGCCTTTTTATCCGCCTTGATCGGCCGTGATGCCAATATTCCTTTGCGTCAGTTGGTCTTGACTTGGTTTCCTGGAAGGAGCCTTCAAGATACATTTGATGAGTTATGTTCTTCGGCATGGCGGCAAACTGAGGGACGTCGAGAGGCCTGGTTCATGCGCCTCGCTGGTCGTGAGCCTGGCGCCGCTCAAAGGCTCGAGCACAGACATTGGAGAGCTCTCGCCGAGGTCCGAGCGATGTTCCGTCGAGTGCTGGGCGATCAGGCCCCAGACGTCAGGAATTCACCACCTGCTCGACGACCTATTTCAGGTGATGACCAAGCGGGCGACCCTCTGGACTCGGTTATCGCGCAGCTGGTGGCGCTGTCTTTCAAGCCGACAGCTTCCACTTCAGCTACACCTACGCCTGCATCTACCAGTTCTTGGAGTGGGTCAGCGGCCATGCTGGTGGATATCATGACACCTCCGACGGGTGCGGCCAGCACTGGGATCTCTAATATAGGATCCAGGCCACATGCCTTGCTGGAATCCAGCCCGAGTCGCCACGAGCCCCGTCAGAACGCGCCTGGGCGGGTTATCCTTGGGGCTCTGGGCCCCTGTTCGCCTCAGGCTGACGCCGAGCGGAGGGAGGTCTCTTGGGGGGGCCTTTCGGCCTCTTCGGTTCATGCCACCGCTGGCCCCTCTGTGCCTGTCGAGGGGTCGCAGAGGCCTGACGGGTCCCAGCGCTCACATCCTACCTTAAGTGGCATAGGGTCGAGCCATGAGGAGCCCAATCTATCATCGGCGCTGACTCGGAAGGCCCGACGCCAAGCCGACGACAGAGCCAAGCGCAGCATGCACTCGCTCAAGGGTCAGGTTGTGACGGTCAACGTCAGCTCGCATGGCTCCCTCTTCGAGTACATGCCAGGCATTGGTGACGACGTGAAGGTGCTGCTAGCTCAAGATCACCACTTGCTGCCCGAGCGCTTCCAGCAGGCACAGTCTCAGGCTCGTGATATTGGTTGGCATGGGATGTGGGCTGCTGCGACGCCGAGTACTGCCTCGGCGACGGGCTCGACTGCAGGTGTCGCGATTCTGGTTCGCACGGACGCGATGATCACCGCCCCTATCTTGGCCGAGAGGGAGGTCGTCACTGGAAGATGTCTGTTTGCGCATATTCACTGGGGTGTGCCTGGCGGTTTCACAGCTGGCAGCATCTACCCCGACACGAAGGATGGCATGGGCCCAGTCAACGCGGCTTACCTGTGGGAGATGGTCAAGGCACTCGCGAGGTTCAACAGCGAGGGGGTGGACTGGCTCATTGGTGGGGACTGGAATAACCAGCCTGCTGAGCTCTTCTCGTCCAGCTGGGCCACTGCAGCCTCGGCTATACCCTTCTGCCCAAAGGTGCCGACGTGTAGGCAGGCCAATCCTGGGACTGTACTTGATTACTTGTTGGTTTCTTCAAACTTGGCAGCACGAGTAGACTCCCATGTTCGGGTGGATGAAGGGGCGACTTTATACCCTCATTGTCCAGTGCATCTGCAGGTGCTTGGACAGGACTACCCGCCATGGAGGATCGTACCGAAGTTGCCCAAGGCACTACCACTACAGGCCCCTATTGGATGCTCGAGGTTCCCTTACTATTGGGAGGCCACCAGCTTCGAGGTGGCCGACGACGCTGAAGGGCTTGCTGCTTGTATGGGCGACTTGATGATTGGGGTCGAAAGGGAGCTCACCAACCGCTACGACTATGTGGGCCCTGCTGCGCTGCGCTATTCAGGCCGAGCGGGGGCGACTTCCTTCACGTGGCGGAAGGTTGCCTGGCAGCCACCCCTCAAGCGCACCTACAAGCGCCCTCAGACCTTGGCCTGGAAGGTGGTACTCCGATGGTTTATGCACATTCAGAAGGAGCGCCACAGACTTCGTACGCTTGTCACCAGGCTTCAGATGGCCCGCGTTCTTTGTGATATTGATCCGCCCCAGTGCGCAGTCCTACTTCAGGCTTTCAGTGAAGTTGGTGGGTTTCTTCGTAACATTATGCGCAGCCAAGTGGTGCTCCACCAGATGCCTGAGAATGCGCAGGCCTTCCTGAACTCTGGGCTGCAGGTTTTGGTCGCACCTGGATTCGAGGACCTCCTGCGCTCGGTCGGGAACGAGGCCACTCGGCTGCGCAAGGAGGACCAGCGTGAATCCTACCAAGCGTGGGTGCAGTTCCAGCGTACGGCCTTTCAGCCAGGGGCCTCTATTGCTCACCGCGTCACCAAGGTGCGGCCGCTGGATCAGGTTGTCGCATTTCAACGACGCCCTGCAGATGCTCAGCCACAGGCTCTGGCGAATCGGGACATGAGGACCTGGGTTGATGTATGGACTCATCATGGCTGCCTACCAGTCCAGCCTCCTCTTGAGGCCGCAGAGTGGCCATGCCTTCCGAAGCTGGACGCCGACACCTTGAGGAAGGTGATACTGACATTCCCTAGAAAAAACATCGACGGGGCCCTGTGCACTACACCCACGCTTGCTGTGGCACCTGTCAGATGAGTCGCTTGAGATGCTGGGCAGTTTCTTTGCAAGGTGCGAGCAACTGCTCGCATGGCCTGCAGATCGGCTCTGGTCGATGATGTGTCGTATCCCCAAGGCTGGTGAGGGACATCGACTGATTGCGGTGGTCCACACTTTCCAGCGCATCTGGGGCAGGGCTCGACGTGGCATCTCTCGGCAGTGGGAGCAGCAGCATCGCGCGGACAATGTGTGGGGCAACAGGCCCCGCTACACTTCGTCGGACAGCGCTTTCAGCCACAACCTGGACTCGGAGGTGGCTGTGCTGAGGGGCCAGTTCAGCGCGACGGTCCTACTGGATCTCACGAAGGCGAGGGTTGCTTGCTTGGCTATCCGCCGAGGATGCTGTACATGTTGCTCAAGATGTACGCCCAGCCGAGGAGCCTCAAAGGGTACGGCACTTTCTCCGACATGGTGCAGGTGGACCAAGGCATTCTGGCTGAATGCACGCATGCCGTCTGTATGCTTGAGTGCCTCACGTTACGTGCCATCCTACGCTTGCGTGACAACTACGCTGGAGTTGTGCCACGGGCTCTTGTTGATGATGTTTCGGTCCAGTACGTTGGGCCTGACCCAAAGGGCCTACTTGCGCTTGATTTGGCTGTGAGAACATTTTCAGGAGGACTCGAGAGTGCTTGGTTCTTGCTTTAATGATAAGAAGTCGGGACTGGTTGCCGCGACGGCGGCTTCTCGTCAGATTTTGCGAGGCTCTAAGTTTGCACATCGGCCGTGGATGCGTAACCTCGGCCACGAGACTTTCAGCATTCGCCCTATTCGGTTGCAAGAGAAGGCCCGCTTTCGTGATCTCCAGAAGCGACGTCATCGTTTCCATATGTTTCGCCAAGTTGTTGGTCGTAAGAACTCAGTGATCTGGCGGGCAGGAGCACAACCAGCTGTGGCTCATGGTGCAGGCGTTTCGGGCATGACCGACTCAGCTCTTGTTACGGCCAGGTCAGTCGTTGCTACCATGGTGGGGGCACCGCCGAGAGCGCACAAGACGGCCTATTTGTATTGTCAGTGGCAGGTGCGTTACGATCCGATTTTTGATGCGACGACGGCGCTGTTGTGTCGGCTGCATTGCTTTATCTGGGATGCACGTGTGCCCCTCAGTGCGCTTCGACATGCATGGTTGAGTTTGGCAGAGCGTGTTAACGACAAAGGGCTGACCTGGGCGGCGGTCCGCGGCCCACTGAGTGTTGCCTGGCTCACACTTAACAGAATTGGCTGGACATTTCTGGGACCTCATCACTGGCGTAGCGACCAAGGTGAGGACTTTGATCTTCTGCGGGTGGCACCAGCCGACATGAAGGTATTTCTTGAAGAGTCGATCAAGCGGTGGCAGGTGCAGCGGCTGGCTTATCACTTGCCTGTGCAGGAGGCGTCTCACGATGTCTGGGAACGAGCTCTTCGACTTGGGCTTCGTGACTTGAGGCAGGCGCCGCTTGGAGCGCTGAGGGCACTGTGGGCTGATCGGTACCCCACTGCTGCCCGCCTTGCTGCATGGGGAAAAGATGTGAAGGTGCACTGTGCAGCCTGTCAGTCAGATGATGGATCCCTCGGGCATGTTTGGCATGAGTGTCCCAGCTTGTTGCAGCCCGATGAGAGCGAGGAGGCTTCTGGTGTTGAGGTTTTGTGTGAGCAACACGCTTCTCCTCGGGAGGCTCTGCGAGCTCTTGGACACCGCCCCCCGTTCGATCCTGAGTTTGACAGACTATATTTTAGTTATGGTTTTCCGAGGCTCTCGATCCAGCTTCCATCCCCGCCTGAATCCTCGTTGGTTTGGGAGTGGGGTGACGTTGGGGGTGAGTGGGGGCCTGTTACTTTCGGGGATGGGAGCGCACAGCACCCCGCCGTGCCTGAAGTTAGGCGCGCAGGGTGGGCCATAGTTCAGCTCAACGATGCGCTCCTCCCTGTCCGCGCGGTGTTTGGATCCCTGGAGGGTGCTGCCCAGACCGCGGGCAGAGCGGAGAGAACTGCGCTCCTGCATGCCATGAGGCGTAATCCCAGATTGGAGGTTTTTGTTTCGGATTTGCTTTCTCTGGTTCAGGAAGGCTTGTCTTGGGACCCTGAATTGGCGTGCGGAATGAACAGATACGCTGCCATTTGGAGGAGTGCTTTTGAGTTGGCGCAGCGTAGGCCCGCCCAGGACCCTCCCCCTCACTTCGTCTGGACCCCTGCTCACCTCTCTCTTGAGGAAGTCCTGGAGCGCAAGCTGGGCCCGATAACCTTGATCGGGAATGCTTGGGCCGACCTGTTTGCCAAGCTAGCGTCGACAAGGGCCACGATAGCTAGAGCGATGGCCGAGGCGGTCGCAGGCGAACTCAAGTTTCATCGTGCTACCATCGATTATATTTCCTGGGCTGCTGCCAGGCTCGCTCGACTCCGACGGCGGACCTCACTGCCACCGCCGTCGAGAGTGTGTCGACCCCAGCCTGCGCCGCAGCTCAGCTTGCATGGTCACTCCTTTTTCCTAGACCCTGACTCATGTTTTGTCGGGGCTTGGACCTGCAGCACCTTGGCGCATCTGTGTAACGGCCCCCCCAAGTTTTGCCGACCCTCGGCCCTTTCGGCCCTCAAGGGGCAAGAGTGGTTGCGGGTGCGAAATCGAAGCGGACCAGGCCCTTGTGGCTGAGGGTCTGCTGCCGCCCCCTCCTCCCCCTGGAAACCCCTCGGGAAACGAGAGAGGGGCGGCCATCTGTGATTTTGAGTCGAGAGGTCACACGATTGAGAAGTATGATCGTGTGATGATTTGCTCCATCTGTGCTGGCTTTGTGTTGCTCCCGCATGGCGCCCCTCGTGCTCTGATTGCAAAGTGTCAGGGCGCTTCCAAGGTTCCATCAACCAGGGACAAGCAGTTGCGGAAGCTTTCCAAGGCCTCCAGAGGCCTGCGCCCGTCTACGGGTGAGGTCCTATCCTGTGCGCAGGGCCCCTCTCCCTCCTCGCCTATGCCCTCCCCTCAGGTGGCCGCCACTGCCGATGGTGGGGGTGTGGGGCGGTCGGGGGGGGGGGGGCGGGCGGGGGGGGAGTGTCGGATGACTCTGACTAACTCGTTTTGTTATTTGGCGTCGGCGCTGCTGCCGTCGCCCGCCGCCGCCGCTGGCGGCCGCCTCCTGTGCGCGAAGTGCAGCAAGCTCGCGCCAGGCGCGCCCTGCTGTCTCCCGCGTGCCCACCCTTCCTAGCCTAGGGTTGTTCGTTCCCGCGGACGACCCTTCTGTCGGCGCCCACCACCCCCTCCTAGCTGCCATCTAGGCCTGAGAGATTGCCAGGGCAGCCCAGACCGCCACTATGTCATTCCACCGCGTGTGCAGACAGAAGGGCGGCGGCCCGCATCATGGCGGTGTGGACCGCTTCTCTCGTGGTGCTTTTCTTCAACCCGCTTTCGGCAAAACTCGACAGGCTGGCGGAGATATACCAGGAGGCGCCGAACTTCGACGCCATCATCCCGACGGGCACGTCGCGCAGACGCCGCGAACCCGCCATCGCCAAACACCGCATCGGCGACGCGCGCTACTACGACGCGGGCTGGCAGCCTGGCGACGTGACGAACCACAGCATGGGTATCATCATCGCGCTGCAGGGCAGGTTCCGACACGCGAAGGTCATTGAGTTGCAGGGGCCGCCCGCTGAGCCCAGCGGCCGAGGATTCGCCATCACGATGCAGCACCGCGACCAGATCATCGTGATCATTGGTTACTACAGACCGCCGCAACCCACGAAGGGCAGGAGCGCACGCAAGCCTACTTCGCCACCATGAATCGCCTCTTTGCTTGGACGGACGCGGTCAGCAATCACAAGCCGCACAACGCGGTACTGATTACAGCTGGGGGCCTGAACGGCGGCATCGGCACCATGCCCCGGGGCGAGAGACCGATAACGACAGCAAGGGGTGACGGCAGAGCACCAAAACGACGACCAGGAGGCGCAGTGCAGAAAACCAGACAGCACGCAGATCGCTACAACCTGTTCGCCACGAACACGCTGGACAGCTGGCGCCCGACCTATTTCGGCACGACCCGCGCGAGCTGCATTGACTACATCACGTTACCGCAACATCTGACGGATACGCTCATTTCGCAAGGACCGCTTCAACGACATGGAACACGACTGCAGCATGCCCCATGCCAATAACGACGAGACCATGTGCCAGTCCACGCCGCTTTCCGACTACGACAACGAGTACGGCACCGATTTCCGCCCCATAAAGTGGAACATGACGATTTCGTGCAATGGCTACCACCGAACGGAGTTTATCCACGACGTTGAGAGGGCCATGGGGACGTACAACCCAGAGGACAAAGGAGTGGATCAGCTTTCAGCGACGCGAACGAGATCTTGATCACGGAGGCAGAAACACTGCTGCCAGACGCCCAAGTCGACGACCGAGTGCGAACGAGACTCTGAGACGATCGCGCGCTCCTTCTACGCAAACGAGACTCTGAGACGACCGCGCGCTCCTTCTACGCAAACGACGACCAGCCAGGGCTGCACTCCTCGCAGAGTATGAAGGTACCACGCCAGAGGCTGCACCCCGAAATACAAATCCCGAGTCACCCCCACCGACCCGATGGGACCGCCAGGACGGGGCTGGGATCCATGGGGCCGAGACCCAGGGAGACAGCGAAACCCGCGACCGCAACCCATGCGCCGACCCAGTGCCAGCACCCATCACGGAGAGTGAACCTAGGACGCGCGACTTGCAGGATTAGTGTCGAAGTACCACGAGACAGTGCGTGCAGATGAGGAAGATAGAGCACCAGGAGCGCGCGGAAGCCAGGATCGAGGAGATGCGCGAGGCATGGGAACAGAGAGATTTGGCGCGCGCTGGAAGATGGTCAAGATTGATATCAGGAGGAATCTGTGGACCAAGAAATCGCGACTACTGGGCGGCGACGACAGCGAATCCCAGACATCAGGAGTGGATCGGGTTCTGGCAGCAATCGGGAGGAGCAGGAGGCATGGATTGCTCTGATCAGGGCCGAGGGCCATCGAAGAGATACCGCGCGACGCAGAGGGGCAAGACTACTACGAGGACGACCTCGAGGAGAAGGTGGAGGAGGACTGCGCAGAGATTGCGAGGTCATTCATGCGAGCGCGGCCACGACGAGCAGCGCCACCTGCAGCAGCACCATCGAAGATCTCGCGAATGCTCCTTTGCGACCACGACCGCGAACAACCGCCGCGGCAGCGGCGAGGGCATGGACGCCGCCGCGACCACCGCGAACCAGCACATGTTCAAGCCTTTATTCATGGCAGCCCTGGCGGCCACCAGGCGCCGCGAGGGGGCGATCCTGACCATGGGGGTGGAAGAGTACAGGGCTAGACAGTCATGCTGCAACTGCGCGCCCGCCATGAAGGACATGTCCAACGCCTTCGCGAGCTTTGCGTGGATCACCGTGGGCGCCGCCAACAGCAACGTCATGCCAGATGACCGTCGGGGCATAGGATTGCAGCGCTACCGCAGGGCCGCGTTCGAGATGGTGCGCAGCGACGCGGAACAGGGCGCGCATCAAGCCCTTTTGCGGAAGACTCATCGGCAACCCGTGCGCGGCCAACGTCTTCGTCGCCAGTGTCGCACCCTGCGCGCGCCGATGGGCCCGATATTGCAACGAGGCGATCACCAGCGACAGCCCGCATTACGGAGATAGCGAACTATTTCAGCATCACGAAGTACGCCGACGTCCTGCGCGAGATGATCCCCGGGCAAGACAGCAGACGCCCGGCGCGTAGCCGAGCAAGCCTACGCCGCAGACGAGAGGCTCAACCAACGCCTGACCGAGATCGGCCCCAAGCTGGACCAGGGCAAGCAGGGGGGCATCTCCGACCTCCAGGGGCCCAGCGCCAGCCAGGCACACCGCGACATCAAGAAGAAACCGCGGTGCAGACTACCAGGCAAAGTGGCGGGGGCGACGAGGCACTTGGGCCCGTGCATCACAGCGACGCAGATTTACCAGCGCGAGCTTCAGCAGAGTACAGGCCATGAAGAAGAGCTACTACGGGCGCGGCGGCTCCTGGACCAAGCGAGACCCCCACCGATGGGAGCGACCAGTCTTGATATGCAGAGTCATCAACGCAGGCCTGTCGTGCATAGAGCGCCCCATGCCGACGCCGACGGAGTGCCGGGAGCTGCAGAGCGCGAGGGGGGCGCTCTGAGGAAGGCGATTACAGGCCGCGCGAGCGCGCGGCGAGCGGACGGCGCCGCCCGCGGCCTGGCGACGCTGGAGACCCTTCGTTTCTGACAATACCTACCAGCAAAGGAAGCGCTCGTCCGCAGACTTGGTTGGACCAAAAAAGTATTGCGATTCCTGAGCAATGATAGGCAACTCATCGTCGCCTTGTTTGGGCGCCTCGGCCCCGAGAGCGGGGGCCCATCGGGACCGAATTTCGTCTTATTCGAATCGATAAGAAAACGTCGGGCCCGAGAGCAAGAACGACGGAAACGAACTGACGACGCATGCGAATCCCTGGGCCCGAAGAATTGTGAACGACGTAGAAGAAGCGCGCCAAGTCTCGGGGAGGTTTGACATCTTCGGGGGGCAGGAGATCACGATAGGTAAGATGTTCAGGCTGACGACTGGGGAAAAGCCCCACCCCTAGATGCACGCGAGGTCAGAGCAGCTAATCTGACAGCGGTTATCCCCCCGCCCGACGAACTCATCGCAGATCTGGCCCTCCAGGATCTCCAGCCGTAGAAATGCGCATTCAGGGATGGAGCGGAAGAATGCGGACTTCTCTTCTCGAGCAAGAAAGCGCTTCACAGCCGCGTCATGCGATATCATCGTGTTCATAGTTTAGCGGCTCGACTGCTTGCGAACAACGAGTGCGCCAATGTCTACCGGGCGTTTGAAAACCGCGGGACCGCATGGAAACATCTAGCCACGTGTATGATGACAGGGTTTTGCAATCAAACCAGAACGAGAAAACAGCGCCACCCGTCGAAACCGAAAACAACGTGCCTGGTCTGCTGCCATCTAGCACTAAACTACGCCCGCGTGGAGCTGATGGCGCTCTTCGACCAGCGCCCGCTGTGGCCGCCAGCGGCGCCAGCGGCAACAGCAGAAGGGCCGCCTCGCCCAGGCCGCGGCCGCCGGCCGAGACGCCCGCTCGGAGGGGCACCCCCTGGGAGTAGGAGGCGCGGCGCTCGACCACGCGCCGGCGGTGGACCTCGCGGCGCGCTTGGCGCCAACGTTGGCCATGGGGGCAGGCGGGGCGAACCGCGGCGGCGACGCAGGCGCGGGGGGTCGACGCGAACGGCGGCATCGCCATGGCAGCGCCGCCAGCAGGACAAGCGCACAAGGAGCAGGCGCAGGAGCCACGACGCCGCGCGGGCGCGGGCGAGCAGGCGGGCGCGGCATCGCTGGGCAGCCCGCGCATCCGCGTCTGGCGCCTGGAGAAGCGCTACCAGGGCGCAATATTATCCGGCAGCGCGGAGGCCGCGGCGGACGGCGCCCCGGTTTTCAGGGCGCGCAAGAACAAGGGCAAAGAGGGGGGAGGTCAGGGGCGACGCCGATTCCAGTTCTCGGCCAAGACCACGCTGCACCAGATCGAGACGACCCTCGCGCGCCAACTGCGCCAGGAGGGAGCCATTCACCAGGCGGGGTCGGCGCCGCTGGGGGGCGCTGGAGCGCGAGCTGGGCCGCCTGATCAATGGCCAGTAGCAGATGTGCGAGACGCAGCTCAGGGCGCAGTTCACCGTGAGACGCCCCAGGCAATTTGCCGCAGTGAGCGCGAGGCCGACGGCGCCTCGAGGAAACAGTCCAGCTCTGTCCAGCTTCGAGGGCCGATGCAGCAGGTGCGATCCCGCTGGCCCTCTGAACTAGTGAACGTTTCAGATTGCTAGCGCGGGGGGGCCGCCTCCCCGCGACCGAGACCCCCGACCTCTACCAACTCCGAGGCCAGAGCTTCCGCGGGCATCGCGTAGCGCACCGCGCCCCCCCCCCCCCCCCCAGAACCGAAAGGGCGGGGGGGGGCGAGCGGGGGGGGGAGCGAGCGAGAGGGCACTCGCAAGAGCGGGTGCTACCCTGCCCGCGACCCTCTGCGCGGGGGAGGTCGGCGCAGGCGGGGCCCGAGCGTCGATCGGCGCCTGCGACCCCCATCTCAGCAAAAACATCGCAGCTCGGCCACTAGATTATGCAAGGCAGCGCAAAGCCCAGAGCGAGCGTGGCACCGAACTGGCCCCAGAGCTCGTTCGATCGATCTTCCGCCGCCTCCTCCTCCTCCCCCCCCCCCTCCTCATCATCATCATCCTCCCATATGTCGCTACGCTTTGCGATTTCATGCGCGGCATGTGCCGCTCCTTTCTGCCGCCAGGGAGGTCTGCAAGGGGGGCTGACCACGGCGGCGTCGCCAGCTCGGCTCGCCCAGCTGATCCACCGCGGGCCCGCGCTTGCTCGCCCCCTCCAGGACGGATGATGGACGATCTCGTTTCTGCTTTGGTCTCGTGCTCTTAGCCGCCCTTCTCCTCTGGGTCGGCGCGCCCCCCCTCCAGGCGAAACAGTCGAACCCTGATCGCCCATCGGGGCGCCATGGCCCGCGCCCCGCACGGGGGCGTTCGGGCCCGTCATCAGGGGGCTCGTCGCCTATCTACCGGAGACGCATGGCCGATTCCAGGTCGATGCCGCGGCCTCACCGATGCTTGAGCCCGCCCCCCCCCCTGCTGAATTGCGAATAGGGGTTTTCGTTTAGGTGTTGGGTCTGGAACCCTCTGGGGGAGGCCCCAACGAACGTGTTCGTGAACAAACTAGGGCCGTAGAGCATGTCCAGGCCCCGTCGCCACCGCTACGGCCACTTCCAGAATTTTACCGACGTTTCCTCCTCCTCCCTTCTCCTCCCCCTCCTCCGCCTCCTCCTCCTCCTCCTTGCCGTCCTCCTCCTCCTCCTCCTCCTCCTCCTCCTCCTCCTCCTCCTTGTCCTCCTCCTCGGCCTCCTTCTCCTCTTCCTCCTCCTCGTCCCTCCTCCTCCTCCTCCTCCTCCGCCGCCGTTCGTCGTCGTCGTGGTCTTCGTTGTCGCCGCCGCCGCCGTCAGCGCCGACGCCATCGTCATTGTCGTCGCCGTCACCGCCGTCGTCGCCGTCATCGTCGCGGCCGTGGCCGTGGTCGTCGTCGTCGTCGTCGTCGTCGTCGTCGTCGTCGTCGTCGTCGTCGCCGTGATCCGCAGTATTCGCTGAAATCCTTGAGAAGGCCCCAAGATCTTAAGGATCGTCTGAGAAGCCTCAGGAGCCTCAGGAGCCCCAAGTTGGGGCCCCAAGGGGCCTCAGAAGCCTTTTAAGTGTTCTCTAGAGAGAGAGAGAGAGAGAGAGAGAGAGAGAGAGAGAGAGAGAGAGACAGAGAAAGAGACAGAAAGAGAGGGAGACAACGTAAGATAACAGTATGAGCACTCCACACGAAGCATAAAAAGAGACGTGGGCCCTTATGGTGTGGCCGTCCCAAGGCAGGGAAGTGGACGAGAGCTGGATAACTATGTGGCCGCATGTCCTTCCAGAGCTTGGCCCAACGTGGACGGACGCGCTGGCCAGTGGCTTTCCGCGCGAGTATCCAGAACGTGGACTCCGCGCGTTCCGTATGTGAATGGACTCCAGAAGGGCCGCGGAAGCCGGATGAAGGCCAAGCGGAAAGTGCAGGAACTGAGTGAGTGAAATAGGTTGGCGGAAACGGCGGAAGTGATAGTGAATCTTGCCATGCGGAGTCGGTCTGAATAGCCGTTTTGGCCCAATATGGAATCTTTCATCGTGCTGCTCAGCACCCGACACCGGACGGGACGAGGTCCTGATAGGTCTCATGTGCGCTGGTCGTTTCCAGAAAGCTGTGGGCCACAAATGAGATCAATAGGCAGTATTTCAAAAACGTCGGCGGAATTTTTGCGGACAAGGCTCCGCTCATCCACGCTCTTGTCAGGTTTCGCCGACGACATTCACCAGGCTATGCAGGGTAGTGAGTCTGCAAAGATAGTTGGGGCGGCACTACTTCGTTTGGACCCGAGCAGGACGGCCCAGTATCATGATACAGTTGGCATGGACAGCGTGTGGTTTGATTTGGAGGGTCCCAGCTGGCAGCGCGCACACTGGCAAGTATTGGCTGCCGCACCTTTTGGAACAGGAGTGGTGGCAATTCCAGACCTGGACCTGCATGTTCTGTGGTGGAATTGGTTCAAGCCGAGTGACGTGACTATACAGAGGTGCCGTGAAAGTATGGACGAAGTTGCACGGAATTGGCGACAGTGCGGCATCTTTGATGGCACGTTGAAGCATGATGAAGTGATTGTTTGCAGTTTACCCCCTGTTCTGGCGCACATGGTGGCGGGTGGTCTGATTGATTCGATTTCTTTCAGCTTGAGCCGCCGATCAGACCATCAACTTAAGCCACTTCGGCCGTTGCGCAAACTTCGACGCACCATCGTCCGCCCAGATGGCGACCAAGAGTTAATCTTCAATTCAGCTGCATTTCAAGCACTGGCACATGCATTGGGCAATGTTGCGAGAGACGGCATCAGCGATGACCTGGAGCAGCGCCAAGAGACGCATGACGAACTCGAGCGTTTCCGCCAGTGGGCGCTTCGTTGCTCGCACACGCTCTCGAAACAGAATATGCTTGCACACAGAGTGGAAAAGGGCGGCAAACGTGCCAGGCTTTGTCACCTTCGAGTTGGGGCAGCTGGAGTCGACGAGCATCATGGACGCTTCACCAGTTGGTTCGTTCTGCACTCAGTCCTCACATGCAGCCAGCTTTTGCACGATAGGGACTTGAACAAGGTTTTCAAGATGGCTGTGCGAACGTTTTTTCCTCGCGAACTCTCCAAGTCACTCGAGGAAATGGTTGAGGGTATGCCCGTGCCAGACGCGTCGCAGCTTTCCAGGTGGAGGATCATGGTGGACGCAGCTTACATGTTGAAACAACGGGGCATGCACCTTCCTCTCATGGAGTGCGACTGCGTGGTTTTCATGCTCTCGGACAGCTCGCCGCAAGGCACCAGAGAGAAATAACAACGCAATGCTGTGAGGTTGCCATGCCCCCCTCCCCCCTTCTTCTCCGTGGAGCTCGCATGGGGAGGGTGGAGGGGGCCTCGGAGGGGGGAAAGAGACGGTGGGTGGAGGGTTCGGGTACTTCACCTCGTTGCGTCCGTTCCCCCGCTCAGACTACGATGATGATGGTTACGATGTTGATGGTGTTGATGATGGTAATGCTGATGATGTTGATGATGATGACGATCATGGAAGATGATGATGGTAATGATGATGATGATGGTGATGGCGATGATGATGAACATATGATGACGATGATGATGATGATGGTGATGGTGATGATGGTGATGGTGATGATGGTGATGATGGTGATGATGATGATGATGATGGTGATGATGGTGATGATGATGATGATGATGATGATGATGATGACCAGAGGGGGCCCTATTGTGAGGATGTCTCGAACGGATCGCTGGCTTCAGCACTCCTAAGGGGGGGCCGCCAAGGGTATCTCACGGCCTCCATTCGCGCCAAGATTGCGGGGGGGTCTCGAGCGGTTTGCCAGTTGGCATGCTCAATATTCTCCGCGGTCGGAGCAGATGCTGAGGATGTCTCGAGCGAGGCGCTCGTTTTCACCCCCAAGCGGGAGCAGAAGTTGAGGATGTCTCGATCGGTTTGCCTGTTTTGGTGGCCAGACTGGTGGGCACGGATCCTCCCCAGGATGCCGCAGGAGGCTCCAGCAGGCTCCAGGAGGCAACAGGAGGTTCCAGGAGGCCACAACAAGATTCAAGAGGCCACAGTATGCCCCAGGATGCTCCAGGAGGCCCCCAGAAGCTCCAGGCCTCAGGAGGCTCCAAGATGCTCCCAGACCGTCAATACCCACGGCCGTGAATATTCGACAATTTTTGCGCCTGGACACTCACGGCGGACAGGTCCACGCTAGTAGATGCACATATGGGGATCTCCACGCAGTGAATCATTTCTTTGTTTGGCAAGGCGGGCGTGATTGGTTGATGACAGAGTCGCACATTTGGTTCGGGGACATGGCGGACCTGCACGCGTCGATGTGCGAACTTATCGACACGCTCAACTTTTGCAGACAAGAGTCGGACAGTGCGATCATCACCGACTCCATGGCCGAGCGCGTGAGTGAGCTGTTGAACAGGGTGAAGGAGGCGCGCGTGACAGAGAGGTCCCCTCCAGCGGGGCTCGGATATCGAAATACAAACGCTACTCATAAGGCCGCTGCCTTGGCGCACCAATTATTTTTATTGAACGGTTCTTTCATGCAACATTGGGTTCGCCGCATTCTGAGCTTCACCACAGACTTTGGCGTTGAAGCTGGGCTCGGGAAGATGAAGCATCGCTTGGATGTACTCTGCCCTCACGCCGTGAAGCTCGAGTTCGAGGCTGAGAACGCTGGCGACGGGATTCCCGACGGGATGGGGGACGACGGCCAGTCAGGCGACGAAGCGATCAATCCGCTGACGTTTGATTTGACCCCCACGTTGCAAGTTCCTGGGAGCCTCCACATACTCCACAACATCTCCAAGGATGTCACGGAGAGCATGACAAATTTTGGAAGAATGAAACCAGGCATGAAAGCTCTCGCGAACTTCCTTAAGGAGAAACATCTCAGAGAAGCGCTCGTTGCAACATGTTTCAGTTCGCCAGCGTCGAGGCCGTTTGCTTGTCGGTTCAGAACCTTCGAATCAAAACTATTGCACTGGAGATGGATGAGCGTCTCGGATTTCATCGCAGAGATAGAGCCCCTAGAGCGCTGCATCCGCAGATTTTGGAACACGAGGCAGTTTCTGCAGCACCGGGCGTCTGGTGGGACACGGGCAGACGAGAATGGTGAAAAGGACGGCGAGTCTTTCGGATCCAAGCTACACAGTTTCGCAGAGGCTGTAGCCAATGAAGAACTGTGGAGCTACATGGGCATGCTCCGCTTGCTGATGACTACTTTGAACCACTTGAACTATTGGGTGCAGGGATGTCCTTGCCACGTTAGTCCAGAATCCGTTGACGGCGACCTGTATTGGGATGTACCTGATATTTGCGCGAGGTGCGACTGCCCCCTGCGCGGCCGCCGCGCCCCTGAGATGGCTCAAGGTTGTCTTTCGACTTTCTTGCAGGAGTGTCAGAACACGTTCGGGATGAACTTACTTGAAATAACTGCCCCACTGAGATCCGCGGCTGCCCGCGCACGAATCCAGGATGACTTCGCAGAGGGCGTCAGGCATTTAAATTTCATGATGGCTGTGAAGTTTGGCTTCTGGACGACCTTGCCTTACGCGCTGTGCGGGGTAGCCCATGCGAAGGAGGCCATCGCCAGGGAAGCTGCCATCTCTTGTCTGGGTTTGTATGCACGCGTGGCCGACCGCGAGACGCACTATGTGACTCGCAAATTCTTGGAGCATGGGTCTCGGTTGCGGGAATTACTGGAGTTGTTTGCCGCTGGCACTTCTCTAGATGATCCTCAGCTCGTGGAACTTCGGTCGCAGTTGTGCGGCTTGGCTTTGGCCCCCATCATCGAGCGGAGCGTCGAAGGCCTCCATGCGCTGGTTCAGAAAGCCACGAGTAAGGCCCGCCACCATAGTGGAGCTTACGTAAGCCAGGCGCTCAGGATCCCAGAGATGTTCAAGCTCTTTGACAATGATCCAGACATGGTGATGGGCATTGTCAACAATATCGAGAAGTGCAGATCGCCTCACTGGGTTGCCACGCATTTAGGACTGCGTCGCCACGCTGCTTTCGAGGAGTACGCGACGGGAGAGATACCGCATCCTCTACTTGACAGCGTCGTTTACAGGCTTGACTCCACATCGCAATTCGCCGACCTGAAATTGGCGAGCTTGGGAGGTGGCGCGCCGCCAGGCAGGCCCGCGCCAGTGGGCAGGCCGCGGGAATCCGAGTCGAATGTGTTGCAGGCGGCTGCTCTGGAACATGTCCGCACTACACTCGATCGACAGGAGTGGCTTCTTGCGGCATTGCCCGTTGACTATGTAGGCGAGTCTCCATTTCGACGATTATCTGAGGCCATAGGCCAAGACCGCACTACATTAGTCGCGTGTGGACAGATCTTGGATTACGAGAAAGGCGACATTGACGGCCGGGCAAGGCTATCGGATGCTGGGCAGCTTATCGTGCCTTTCGGAGTCGGCCCGCCGAAGATCGATGACATCCCTACTGGAGTAATTCTGTTCAAAGTGCAGCATTTCTATCCTGCGCTCCTGAAGCGAGCGAGGGGGGACACCGTTGCTCACTTGGGGCGCTCCGACGTCGCAGTGACATTGTTCGATATTACGCGCTGGGATGGGGACGACTGCTTTGCGATGACAAATGGCAGGCCATGCAACAGCACAGCGGGCGACGTGGCAGGTAGGGGGCCACATGCAAACCCTACCCCAACACCCGGCGATTTCTAAGGGGGAGGGTGGGGTTCACTTCGCTCGGGAGCTCCCGAACGAAGTGAACCCCACCCTTCCCCTCAGAAATCGTGGGGGTAGGGGTGGGGTTCGCATGTGGCCCCCTAGCAGGTGCACTCGCGATTGTCAACGACAGTTTGTTCGACGCTGCTGTCTGGAAGCTCTCAAAAGAGGAACCCTCTTACACGCTCCCAGTGATGGCCGAGGATTCTCGCGAACACGCTGAGCTGGTTGTGAAAGAGATGCTGAAGAACAGGGCCCACCATGGATCTGGCCAGTACTATCTGCTGAAGCGGGGCGCTGCACATCAAGAGCATCAAGAATTGGTTCTTCAAAATTGGGATCGTCTCGGGTACGTCACGCGACAAGCAGTGGGTGACGACGGCGACGCACGATGGCAATTTACGGACGTTGGCACGTCCACTATGCAGGTGGAGATTCGTTTGTCGGGAGAGGAAAACGTTCTTACCCATCGAATGCTGGAGGACAGGGGAGAATGGACACATTGGGAACTTATGGATTACTTAGGGAATCGTGGATGGGTTGCACTGCCCTGGCAAAAAGGAGCGAGGGCTCCTCCTCCCCTGAGTATTGCTATACCCGACGATGGCGAGATGAACAAGGACGGCCCTCCTTTGCACAAGACATGGTATTTCCGCCCGCACTGCGTCACGATAATGGCTTCGCATTTGCGAGCACTTGTGGGGGTCGAGGAGAACCGCGCAAAGCTGGTCGACCTCGGTGTCAAATCTATCGCCCACAACAAGCCAGTCGCCTACTACGCTGATGTGATCTCAGTAATAGATGGAAAGAAAACGCCAGACACGTTAACAATGCTGCCGCTTAAATTCGAGGCCGATGTGGGGGACGTACAGCGGCGTCGCAAGATGCGCCCTGCTCTCATGGACGTCGGTCGAGCTGCACTACCCGAAGACGTTGGATTAGTACCCAATGACGACGCAGCTTCCGAGTGGGAGAACGCTGATGGCGGCGATGCCCATGGTCACGATTCCGATGAACATGGTGAGTATGGAGACGACGACCGCGAAGAGGACTCCGAGGACGCCGCGGACGGCGACGACGACCCCCCGCCAGCGCCGCCGGCGGCGAAGGCGCCGCGACGGCCTCCTCGCCCTTGCGAGGAATATCACGCCAAGACGCACGAGTGGGGGGCCTTCAGGATCACCTACCGCCCCGAGACCATCAATAAGAAGGGCCACTTTGTCAATCCATCATGGCAGGCAACCTGCCCCTTTAAGCCGCACAATGCACGCATCAAGTGCACCAAGACATTGACATTCCAGTTCGAGGATGAAGCTGATGAACAGATCGCACTCTGGCGAATTCGTTGTTGGTGCAACTGGGCCACTCGCAATAGAAGCAAAGCAGATCACATGAAAGTCTTTGTTTCAGTTGAGGACGTGCCAGAGATCGGAGATCGAGCAGGGCATGTTGGAGAACCTTCCCGACGAGCACGAGGGGCCGCCAGAGGCTCACGCCATGGGAGTCGCCGACGCTGCCGCCCCTGCCCCTCTTGCTCCGCCAGCAGCGCCAGCCGCGAAAGCAAAGCCTCCAGCGGCCAAGGCCAAGGCCAAAGCGGCCAAGGCGAAGGCGGGCAGGGCCAAGGAGCCCAGCTCG